CTTCTCCCTTACCTGTTCTTCATAACTTTGGGGAAAAGGATAAAAGCCTGTTAAAAGCGACTTTCAGCTTCAACCCATCCCATGGGGAGGTCTCAGAGGGAGCCTAAAGGACCCCATGCAGTGTCCACACCAACCGAGCAGCCGTTAGAACAACATAGTCTGAACTTCCAGACACCTCAGGACAAAACACAGCATGGATGGGACTCTTGACACTTCCTCCTGCCACTATTGCTGGCTCAAACTCATCTGTTTCCCCTACAAGTTTTGCAGTATTCACCACCATCTCTTTCTGCAGCTGAGCCAGCCTTGAGGTCTCTGCTGCCAAACTCTCCAGCCTAACCCAAGCCCCTTTGCTGCCAGCGACAATTAGGAAAAGTTTCCAGTCTCGCCCCTCACATTCAACGTGTTCTGCACCTTTGCTCCCATAATCCTATCACTTTTTCCTCTTACCCAATCCTCCATCCAGTTTCCTTTTACAACTATCTTCATACCTCATTCCTCCAGCCCCATACAACTACAGTCTCTCTAGCTTTGGTCAGCTATGCCTCAGCTCTCCAAATGCTTGAATTCTTCCTTAAAATGTCTTTTCCTTGAAGTGTTTCAGCAGCAATCTAAACCCCCTTCTCCTCCTCTGCTGAAACCAGAGTGAACTGCATAATTACGAGACCAGGCATCAAGCTATCCAGCACAAGGGCCAGTCTGATCAGAAACTTAGTAACAAGCTCCATGACAAGAAGTGATGACTGCATACTGCAAGTGCTTATTAAACAAAGTAATCAACACTGATGAGAACAGAAAATAGATACTATTTTATAATAGATGCTCTAGGTACTAGCTGGATATAGCCTCTCGCTACCCCAAGGGACATATTCCGTACCAGGTCCAGTAGGCAGGCAATCTCTGGCAACAGGTAAGCCTCATGTGTGTTGGACATTAGTCCCATCACACCTATGAACCCACTAGCTCCTGGGTGAATTCTTGTTTCATTTTTCTTCCCCTTCACAGCTGCAGTGCTATCCTCTACCTAAGCCCTGCTCCATTCTGCCTGGTCAAGACAGTGGGAACAGAAGAGTTCCTGTTTTTCCCCCACCACTAGAGAAGGCAGAAGACACTCTGTAATTCCTTTCCAGCAGAGGAGGACAAAGGGATAGACATCACCCCATCTCCACCTTTTTACTGGAGTGGGACTCCACTCATAAAACCAATTCTCATCCTTCTCATTTACTCCAGATCAGCCTGGCCCTGCCCTAGAAGGGAGGCTTTATCCACACTGGCTCAACTCCAAGGACCAGTGCGCCTCTACCAACAGCATCCTCACACCCTGGAGAGAGCAGAGATCCCCCGAAAACTCAGGGCGCAGTGACTGACCCGCCTCCTCTTGTGTAACTCAAGTGCATTTCACTCCTCAAGGTAACATGGCAAGCAAGCACACAAGCAAGCACTGCCTAACACTGACGTTGGCAATGAGTCATCTCATAGCTGCACTGGCTTCTTCCCGGCATGAAAAAAATCCCTAATGATGAGCAACACTCAGGCTGCACACAAGACAACCTAGTCTGAATACCACCCGGTCATCAGTCCCTGCACAGAGCTCTGTTCTGGCTCCATGGAGCTCAGCAAAGGAAACAGTGCAACACAAACCAGTGGTCTGTAAATATCCCCCCCTGCTTTCCATTAAATACCACCATGGCATCCCTCATAGGAAAGGACAGGACAAACTGGATCTCAGAACAAGCATCATCCAGGAAATGACTTGATGGGAGAAGGATCCAGAGTGTTCACTCCTTCCTTCTTGCCCTAATACACTCAGTAATCCTTCTCCAGCTGTAATGATTTCCTGTTTTCCAGATGCTTTGACCCACTGAGTCACTGCTCATCAGGTTTTTATCTGGAGGAGGCCAGAGGACCAGCCGCTGCCCAGAAAAGATGGTATGTTCCTGACCACTTGCTTTCTTGAAACACTGAGAAGCAAGTTACATGATGAAGAAAAAAAGCAATGAAACAATAAAAAATAGTGCTAGTGAAGGATGAAATTGAGAGTTAATGCTCTAGAAAAAGAGCCTCATAAAAGCAGAGAACAGGTCATTACCAGAATACAGCAAGGGCTTTAGATACTCCACTAAGCTACTGTGATACAATCCTATCCCTTTGCCTCCGTTAACACAAAATTTCTTGATAACTTAAATCAAATTTGTGGGCATGTAGGGTAGGAAATGTCAATTAGAAGAATGCAAGCCCAAGCCATGTCCATATTCAGAACTACACAGAAATACTCTGTTGAAACAGCAGCAGGAGCTCGCAATGCCAGAATAAAATATTATCTCTGTGACACTGAGGAACAACTTACTGCCTGATCTTGTCATTCCTGGGTCCAAATCTTGGTCCAGAAGGCCCTCTCCTGCAAGCAGAAAAGAGAACAATCAGATGGAGATAAACTGAAAACATGTTTTTAAAAGACTTAGAAGATATGCAAGAGAGAAACAATGCCTTGTGGACAGAGGATTGTTCTCATACCTCCCATAAGCCCCTCCCATGTCTCAGGATATGTGGGACCCCCCACTCTTATAAAGGTCACACCTATTAAGTCTTAATTCATGCTCAGTGCCAAGGTTCTGGGAGATCAACTCAAAGGAATCAAAGGTTTTGATTCCCAAGCCCCCACCTATGTGGCAGGGAGCAGCTTTTGGTATTTGACACCTCCGGTTAAGACATCACATTCCCTACAGCACCTGTTCAGAAACTCACAAGAAAAAGTCTTCCTCTTCATCTGAATCTTCCTCCAACAGGTTTCTCTGCAAACACAGAAGAAAACCAAACCACGTCGTCAGTAAGCAACTACCATTTCACACACACACTTCCAGCCCTTAGGACGCAACCAGCATCCTCCAACTGCAGGTTACACACGAGCCCTCCTTTGGAGAGGATTGACGGCACTTTTCAGGTGTCTGGAGTCGTGCTGTTTCTCTCTGGTTGTGACCAAGGGCTGAGCTGGATGTCTCTGTGCTGCTATTATCACCTCAGCAGCATTTGCTAATTCTCTAAAGCAAGGACTGATGCACAGCTCTGCAGCTCCAACTTGAGACAACTCGCACCTCTACCACCGAGCCAAACTGGATTTGTGGCAATGGCCAGTTGTCTGTGAGGGTTCGGACCTCAATTCTAGGGATCAGCATAACTCCCTGTGACGCAGAAGCAATTGGCGCATCAGTACAGTGAACCCTAACTTGGAAAGCAGCAGGCAGAGCCCCCGCACAGGCCTGCTGTGGATGGCAGGCCCTCTCTGCTTGAGGGACGATCCCAGCATTGCACTCGGTCAACAGCAGCTGCTCAGAAAACATCAGCATCACCTACAGCCACCCTGGGGCATCCCACCTACATGGGAGGTCAGACCCACTCCTGATTTGGAGGACGTGGTTTCTCCAGCCATCGGATAGCAGCAGGTGCAAGAAGGACAACTGTAAGGAAATACACTGGGGTCCCTGCATGGCATGTCCAGAGGGGTTGGCCCCTCCAAACCCCCAACTCAGGCAAAGGCTAAGGCTGGGCTGGAAAGCAGAGTGGTCTGGTAGGTCCTCTGCTTCGTGCCAGAGGGCTCCTCCTGGGCTCAGATTTGCTGTTCTAATACACCCCATCAGATGACACAAATGCTGATTTTTAAGAGCAACCCCAACTTAAGCCTGAAAGTTTTGGACAAATACGTTACTAGAGTTCATTTCTCACATCAGGGCAGTGTGAATTGTCCAGTCAAGTGGAGGGCTCCCAGTAACATCTACTTAGGTCAAAAATAATCAAGAGCAGGAAATGGCACACTAAACGTGTGGGCCTAGGAACACATCAGACAGTCCTTCCAGTACCAACAGCTGCTGCTGCTTCCCCTGTGCATAAATTCAGGCTCCCACCTGCAAGCACAGTGCTCTTATTTTGAAGCTCACTTACATTTCCATGCTTGTCACATTTGCTCAATCAACGTAAGCAACCCACAAGACCATGCAATAGTTTCAACCATCACCTCCTTCAAGGGATGAACGAACCGCTCTTGGCAACATGGGATCCTTGTCTCACTGACAGCTATCATGAACTGTAGCAACATTTTAGACGACAGTCTAAACTCAGTTTTAGCACACTATGACCCAGAATAAACATATGAGGTTAAATGCACTTGTCCAGAACTGCACTATTTTGACCTGTATTCAAAGCCTGAAACATCAAGGGACCTTGGTGACAAGAATAAAATGCAGCTGTAAAGTGCAGGGCAACTTCACACGAGCCCTTCAGCCAGCTACATGGGGAAGAGAGCTGTGACGTGCTCAGGGCAAGTTCTGTGGAGAGATTGAAGCAGGCTGGGATCTCATGGCCAAAATGAACTGGAACAGGTTCTTAAAACAGCCGTATCTCCTAATGAGGGTTGCTTTAAAATACACAGATGAGGTTTGATGCACGGACAGTCTCTTCACAAACTAAATGTCGCTATCAAGAGCGATACGGCTCCCAGGCCCCATGGCTGAAGGTGGTGACAGGAGCTCCTTGGGCAAAGGGAGCTGTAACTTACCGTACACTGGCCTGGCAACTAATGGCACAAGGCAAAGCCAGAGGCCTTCGGGTCCCCAAGGTGTGTTTAACACCCACTTGCCCACCATGGGCACCTTACCCCAGGCACCACTGCGTAAGTAATAGCCTGCTATGGCACCGTTGCGGCCACCGGCACTAGAGGGACAGGCTGGTCCCGCGCCCCACCGGCACTCACCCGCTCGCTCTTCACTGAGCCCGTCACCTCGTCGTCGTTCAGGTGCCGCTTGAATTTCGGAGGCATGGTCTCTACCGGCGGGAGAGGTGGCTTCGGGCCCCGGAGGAGAAGCCTGGAGGGGAGGCGCAGGGAAGGCCCGGGTCACCTCGCTGCCCGGCGCCCGAACCGCGGCGGCGCCCCGGCCGCCACTCGCCCTGGCCTAGCAG